TTTGTCACGCTCTCCATTGAGATTCTTTTTCCCTGTCCTTGAATCTTGGTTGGCACAGTGACTGCTTAACCAACAGGATGCAGTGGAAATAACTGGTGCTGCTTCCAGGCCCAGTGTTTAAGAGAACTGGCAGCTTCTGTTTCCTCCCTCTTGGGGTGCTTCCTCTCAGAACCCAGCCACCAAGCTGAGAAGCTCAAGTCCCATGGAGAGGGTGCATGCAGGTGCACCATTTGACAGCCCCAGCTGAGTTCCCAGCTGCCATCTGCATCAGCTGTCAGTCATGTGAGTGAACCAACTAGAATGTTTCAGCCCAGAGGCACCTCCAGCTGACTGCGGCACCTGATGACATCAAATGGAGCAGAAGAACCACTCAGCTGAACCCAGCAAACCTACAGCCTAGTGAGATATAATAAAACGGTTGTTGTTTTAAGCTGTTTCAGGGCAGTTTGCAGCAATACATAGTTGAAGTAGCTTTCTAAAGAAAGTCCTGGAAGTGAAACCATGGAAGGGCTCATTTGATTTAAACTATGAATAGATAATATTTAAATGGCCTGTGCCTAATTCTTATAACTTCTGAAAATCACTAGGCAAAATTTTAGAAAAACTCTTATTTTTGAAACTAGGCACCTGTAAGTTTACTTACAAACTATATTAAGATAATAATTCCTGTTTCATTGTTAACACTTTCTGGTTCTCTCATTCTCCTGTTGAAGTGATAAGTAAGCAGTATATAATCAGATACATTCTTTTGATTAAAAAAGAAAAGCAGTATTTTTCAGCAGATATAGCATGAGTCAGACCTTGTTCACACAGCCCTATCATTTAATAGCTGTGTGTCCATTGGCTAAGTTTCCTAAGCTTCCTAAGACCATATTTCTTCATTTCCAAGATAATATGGACTGTATAGTATTAGTAAAGATAGAAATAATGTATGTTGTAAACCTAGCAGAGTGCCTGGAACATAGGTGGAGCTTTTATTGTTAGGAAGGAGGTGGTAATATAAGGTTTTAAAATGTCTCTTGTTCGTTTTTTAAGGAGGACATGGAAATAGGGGTGATCCTGGGCATTACTGGGGTAGAGCTTAAAGGGTTAAAATGATATATCCTTGCAGTCCTTCCTACAGACATGCATGTTTTTTTCCAAAGGAAATTCTGACCTCTAACCCCATTCATGCTACGCCTCCTCACCCTGTTATTGCTGCAGAGGATTTGATAAAGGGATAAATGGAACTTCTGGCTCCTAGTCCCAAGGGTAGAACTAATGGAGAATTCCTTTTTTTCTCCACCTCCTGTCCTACTCCCTTTCCCCAATTACATTCATCTTCCAATTTGGTGGGGAAAAAAACCACAATTTTATAGGGAGCTGGCTCCCTGCAAGCTGATCTTAGCACTAAGATGCCACAAGGTTCATGGAATACATTTCCAGGGAGGTCACATACATATCCCAAAGTCTGACTTGTGTAGTACAGGGGAAAAAATTATTGTGGCAGCCTTTAGGATTCCGTTTCTGATGTTTTGTCCTGGCGTTTGTATAATACATTTTTTCTCTTTGTTCAGTGTTGGGAATTTTTAATATGACAATAGAGGCGTTCTCAGTAATTTTTTTGTCTGCTGAATGTGTTTGCTCTTAATAATTAAGGTTAGGTAATTGCTATTGGTATAAATTAAGGACCACTTTTCTCAACTATAGGTTATTGTTCTTGGTGTCTTTTCTTATCTTCCTGACTTGGGGCTACCTGAACCCCATTTTGGTCTTTGAAATTTAGCTGACATTGGCCATCGATGAAATGCCAATGTATTATACTTGAGTATAATATTGGTTTGGGGCAGAATCGAGGAATCAAGTCTCATATATTTAAACTGGGTGATCTTTGAGTTAATTTTAAGTTACCCTAGTTTAGTATAAACACTTACCCGCGTATATTGTTTTTGGATATTTGCATGACTATCAATAATTAAGCTCTTAATACCTCTCTGTTTCAATACTTTCAGTGCTTCAGTAAAGATTTTCTACATTATGACATTTTATGCCCATTGGTAGACTCTTTGTAAGAGAGTTCTCTTATTGCTGTAAAATCAAATAAAGCTAGAAAATAAGCATAGGAATTATTTTAAAATACTGGTTACTGGTATATAGATGCAGTTTATATAGAGGTGAACTTCAGGATAAAGCATTTCACTCATAATAAGCTTGTCATAGTTATGGTTACAATTATGCAAATTTGTTCAGGTTTTTGTTATTGTTACTTATAGTACTGAAAACACATTTGAAGATAATTAATACCCTTTAAATCATGTAGAGTTATGGGCTAATTTTATCTTGGAGGAAACAACAATATTCTTATCATACCATTTAAAGTTTAAGCGTATTTCAAATCAGTAGAGATTGTGCTGTGCAAAATATAATGTGCTTAAAGCAGATTTTCTCAGGACTTGAGCTGTAAATTTTACTGCTTTGGGGACTCGTATGATGGATATGTAGTATAGATTTAGCGACAGTTCTTAAGACTCCTATTGGCATAGGTGAACAAAATGGTTCCTTGGAAACCATTTGGATGTCCAGTCACAGTCAAGTGTGGATTAAACCTTCAGATGCATACAGTGCGCAGTGACACACAACAAAATGTTCAGGGGTGCCTGTGCTCTCTGTTAAGGACAGTGCATTTCTCCTGGTATTTTAATGACTGCTGTTCTAAAAGAAAAAAAAAAATCAGCATTGAAACTATCTGTAAGGTGAAGCTACTGAAACCTAACCCAAAAGGCATGCTCTTATAGAAAACTCTTCTTAAGACTTGCAGTGCGGTTATAGCCGAGGACATGTGGTATATATTACAGTGCCAAGGGAATTCAAACCTCCGCAGTGTGCAGTCACAATGAAAGGCTAATTTAAAAATTTAGCCTCTGCTCCCTTCATAGCTCTGTTGCTTACTAATGTTTCCTCTTAGTTTGACATTGGTCTAGTTTGCTTTGTTTGGGACAAGGGAAACAGAAATTTAAAGGGGACCACAAGGGCTTCTGTCCCCTCCGCTAGCACATCCTTCCTCCAGCATGTACACTCAACACTCAGCATTTCACAGAGAGCATTACAAAGTCTTACACAATCGTTGCAAAGCAGAGCTGTCCATGGTTAGAGAAAAAGGTTCTAGCTGTTGGTTGAGAATCAGGTAATGACAGTCCTCTTGGTGAACAAAACTTATTAGAGGGCTAGGGAAGGAATGCTCTCTCTCAGCAGCAGGCAGGGAGAGATTGCTGTTGAAAAGCTTACCTCTCTAGGGAGGAATCAGATATCAGACTGTGCCCAGCCTCAGGTCCAACCCCTGAGGTCCCACCTACATCCCCCGCCCCATCCCAGCTTTGTTAGATTGCTAGCATCGATCGCTGGCTTTTTCTGACCCAACAGTGAGTGGGTAAAGGAAAGAGCCAGCGAGACTGAAAGCAAGCCAGGTGGGGGTGGGAGACTGGGGCCACTTTTGTGCAGAAAGAAAGAAAAGGACAAGAACAGGGGTGGGGGCCGTGGGGACTCCGCTTAACTGGTGGCGGCCTGCTTCTCTTTGATTTGATGGCCTTTATTCCTCCTAATTGGATAAAATAGGAAGTCACTGGCAGTCCTGCGTAGCTGGATAGACTGATTTGACTCAGACCAGCCGGAGGCTCCGGAGTGTGGATAGAGGGTGG